ATTAGTGGCAGCGAGGAAAGGGAGGGGCGTTGCTGAAGGAAAGCCTAGTCCTGACACGGGGGAAGACTGGCTTTTTAATGAGGAGAGGACTCTAAAATACGATTTTTCCCGGAAGGAGCGGGGCAGCCTGAGGACCTGCGCTTCAGCTGTGCCAGAGAGGGATGGGAAGCAGCTCCTCTGAGAGGATGTCTGGGAGACAGCTTGGAGAAGGAAGATCTTAGACATAGGCCTCTCTTTTACCACTTTTCTGTTTCCTGCACTCTTGTTTTACCTTCAGTAATACTTTTAAATAACATAACATAAATAATCCTAGATCAACTTTACACAACCCTTACCATTTTAAAGAGCATGGTCTGTGCTGGTCTTTACATTGCAGTGTTTTTCTTCTGACTGCGTGTCCTGCCGAGGTTGGGCTATGAAGTTGAGTGAGTACTCGTCACGGTTTTTAAATAACACCTCATACTGAGGCGTTCATGCCCAGACCTCCCCGATCGTCTGGCACGATGCTCTCCTTGGAGTGGGATCTCGGGACTGAAAGTTTTAAAGGATTTAGACTTGACTTGAGGAAAAACTGTCAATGGGCGTTTGACGGATAGCATGCATCCTATGTCGTAATGGAAACGTTAAATAAGCTAGAGGTGACAGGAAAACGAAACTCTCTGTAGATTTTCTAACGTGTACCACTTCTTTTCGAAATATATAAACATTAGTCAACATACTTATTTGTGTTGAAAAGTGTTTGCTTCAGTACTGCATACCACCAGAGATGGCTTTCAACGGTCTCAGCAGTTGTCACTTTTGAGTGTTACCTCAAAACTCATGGCATGAAGAGCTGGTGGTCTTGTGTAGCTAAGGGTGTAAATCACAGTATTTTGCTGGCCTATCAAAGAGTATCACTGTATTTGGAGCCATAACTGTTGAAAATGGCAGATTATAATCGTCAAATTATTTTAAAGGTTTTACATAAATCTATTAAACCCAATCACTTTATTGACTCGTACAGTTATTAAAGAAAATGCTAGTGCATGCAATTAATAAGACCCTAGGGGATGTCTTGAAACGATAAACCTCTAAAATGATCCTAGACCTAAAAATCCATTGGCTACAAAAGTAAATTAGAAGATATGAAGTGGACTAGATGCTTCCAGGCATGGAGACCACTGTCTAAACAATTGACACGCAGCTCGAACTTGCAGCGCTGTTCTTAAAATGACTTGAGTTAATAGGAGAGTTAAGCCTCCCGAATTCCACAGCTGCTTTACCGTAGGATATTATGCTTTGAAAATGCACAGTGTCAAATGAATTCTATGTCCATCAGCCCTGCTCCCTCATCACTACCAAGTAAGCCTGAGTCACGGAGCTATTCTCAGAAACTTCCTAAAAATCCAGGGAAATTTGCCCATGTATCGGGTGAAAAATTAGCAAAAGGGAGAGTAACCGTGGCAGATTAGGATTTTAATTTCTCTTCCCACTGCCCTGTATTCTTTCCTTCTACTTTTCCCTCAGCATTTTGCATGTCCATAATTCACTGGTGCCTATTGCCTAACAGAGAGGCCG